GTTAAATATCTCAGAACAACCCCGCACATGCACACAAGGGGTAAATGCGATCACAAAACCCACATGGGCCCCAACAAGCGTGTTGTGGAGACACACGTGACGTTTAGGGATGCTGCGCGAGTCAATAAATTTGAACTTGATCCTCCTAAACAGGTAGATAGGAGTCGACAAGGTTCAGTAAATAATTATAAAATGCTCCCAAACACTCGCATGGATCTCGGTGAGCGTGTTATAAATATGCACGTGGCATTTAGGGATGCTGCGCGGGTCAATAAGTGAATTCAAGTTTGAACCCGATCCTTCTATGCATATCAATAGGAGTTGACAGGATTTGAACCATCAAATAAATATACGGTTACAGCGATCGATATATTTATTTTAATACATTCATATTAGGCCTTCAAAGTTTATATCAACGAGAATTCACTAATAAAGGTACAAAGCTTATGACAAACTCAATCTTCTGTCGGTAAACTGACAGAGTCAACAAGGTCCAGTCAATGAAAGGGAAATAACCCCGTACATCCCAATGATGGCCGTGTTGACAGAAAATCTCAATCGGAGGGGTTCATAAATGATTTCAAATGCCATCCCAAATCTCCCCAAAATCCAAAAAATCCCAAATTTCAAAATATTTAAAATTGAAATTCGACATCATGAACCACTCGAAGCAAAATCATCTACCCTCCGCAACAGTTTGTCGGGGTGGACAAATTAAAAACTACTTTACCTCGCATAGAGATAATGCCTAGTCAAAAATATCATTATGTTCCATTATCAAATAATCTTCTGCCAGTAAGGACATGGTACGTGTCCTCTGATCGGCGGTCTGCCATCAAATGGCATCGCAGGATAAACGGTTATGACCCGGGGCCTTCTGAACTGAGTGGTTTTGCAGCCAAATGGCACCACGAAATACCTATTATGGCCTGAGCCAATACGCTTCTTAATGACATCAAATCCTTGAGATATGAATCAGTAGGATATGGTTGATAGGGCACAAATCCCTCTGTTAACTATGGTGGATTCAAATTTGTCCCCTTAGACAAACATTCACCTCAGGTTTACAAGGTCCCCTTGGACGAAGCAACCCATGACTGCCGACAAGGATCCTTCTGTTAGGTTGGGTCGACTACCTCCTCTGACTAATTAGACCAGGGACCATGATGGCCCGGGACGACGGAACCATGGGATCTTGATCAGGTCCATCATCCATTCCCCCACCATTCGCTTTAAGTATAAGATGGTGAAAATTTTCAATTTTAAATATCAAGCTTCTCAAATATTTCAACCAAAATTTTTAAATATTCAAACCTCTCAATCATCCTGAGCCCATTTCTGCTACTATTCGTCTGATACTATGTATCTATGGATACAATGTATCTGATCGACGATTAGCCTTAATCGAAAGTTCTCTCTAGTTATCGGGAGGGGTAATTAAAAATATAGGGGATTGCGCCTATAGGAAACCAGAACTCAGATCATAAAGTCCTCGCAAAATGAGGGTGAAATCTTTGGGTAGTGTCTTATCTACAAGCCCATCTGCCTTCCCAAAATTTATCCCATAACTTAAATCCGTTAAAACTCCCCCGAAAAGCAAAGCATAGCGGGCGGAGGCCGGGGCCTAATTTTTGGAGCCCACACCTCCCCAACCTCTTCTCGTGGGGAGTGGGCACCGGAAGATTGCCGAATTTTTTAGAGGAATAAAAAAAATTAAAATGAATTTAATTACTTAATCAAATAATACGACAGCAGGAAAATATTTGAAGGAAGTCACAGGGGTCGGTCCCCGAAGCCCTTGGTTGTCGAACTAATCATGCAGAGTGGATTGAATACTTGAAGACACTTCTGGGGTTGATTCTGTCCCCCAAACTCTTGGCAGTTAATTTGATCCGGTCGAGTCGAGCCAAAAGGGTAAGTGCCTTCCCCAACCTCCCTTCGCGGAAAGGGGACATTGGGATGTTCCCGAAATAAAAAATGACAAATGATCCCCACTTTATATATATATAACATTGTGATTTAGTTTAGCATTAAAGAGAATTTTATGATTAAGTGTTTGATAAATCTCATTGACTAAAAGAATTTGATGAATTTGATCATGTTTTTGGAAATGACAACTCATTGAAACCCTGTATCTAGCTAATTCTATTGGTGATCAAGTTATTAATTTTAATAAAGAAATTATTAGTTCAAGAGTCATAGTAAACAGGAGCAGTACTTTGGAAGCATCTTCATTGTTAAATGATTCATTTATATTGATGTGGAGATTAAACAAAAATGAAGTAAGAAGAGAGGAGGCATTTTGATATTTGAACGGTTGAACTTTAAAGTTGATATTAAAAAAAAAAAAGTTAAACAACTTGCAAAAATCAAACAAAGACAAGATGAAGATACATTAGCTGCCAAGTTACATTCATTCAATGACAACTCCAAATCTATGGAAATGGAACAATTATAATTTTTAATAAAATCAAGAAGATACAATCTCTTAGGTTAATGACTTCATCAATATGGGACTATCTGATTGATATTGGAGAAGTATTTTATGATATACGAGAAGATATTCCATAATTCAAGTGATGATGAAAGTCAAGAAGATAAAATTCCCTATTCGGTGGGTTCTAGTTCTCTTAACATTGCCACAACTAGTTATGTTTGTACTCCACCAGCTTGTAGGCCTCATTAAAAAAAAAAAGTAGAAACTATCATAAACGTAAGTGCAGAAATGGAAGAAATGATTGAGGTGTAAAGCAAAGTTATTTGTTGTTCAAGGTATACATTAAAAGCTCACTTCCCCAATGATGATAATGTGGGGTTTCTCCTATTTTTAGATAAATCTAAAGAGTCTAGAAACTATCTCTTTTTCTCTAAGGTAAATTCAAGCTACTACTAGTAACCTTAGTTCTTCTAACAAGATTGAAGAAGGTGGTTTTAGATCTGTGTATACGGGTCAGTTAATAGATAGCATTATAATAAATGTGGAGTACTGAAGATCACAATTAAGTTAAGATAAGCCACCGGATCCGTAACATTTATACAAGCTGATAGAAGACGATATCCTTATGATAATATTGAAGATACACTTGAAAATAACATCTTGCATATGCTCTGATCAACATGTTAAAGTTACAAACACAAATGTATGAGATTGATGCACTGGGTCAAATGTTCATTAATATAACATTCTAATTTCAAACTAAACAAAACCTGCATGTGCTCCTATGTTGCACCGATACACCTATTTATGAAGGTGTGTTGTATCCGATACACCGATACACGGATACGCCTCCGATACTCCACCGATACATGTTGGATATGCCAAAGACGTATCCAATTAAAATACTATGTAATTTCAAAATTTTTTTTGTAATTTCAAACATTATGTTTTGATTGCTTTCTTAATTTTTATGTATGATTTATAAATTATAATGTCGTGTTCGCGTCGTACCCGTATCCTGTATTTTTAAGAATTGACGTGTCCCGTATCCGTATCGTGTCGTATCCGTGTCACTGTATCCGTATCGATGCAACATAGATGTGCTCTGATCATCACATATGATTCCTAAATCCATGGTTCGAGAATGTTGCTCGGGTCAAAAGTTCAAGTTTCGTCCTCTCCCATGAAAGGACTGGAGTCAACCTAACTTGAATCATAAATTGCCTCCCAAATTCCTACAAAAATATCAGTTACTTTAATATCACTCTGATGATGGTCATGTTGAATGCAAATATCAACCGGAGGGGTTAAATCTCAAAACCAATAAAATTTTGAATTCTTAAAATAAAGCATGTCACTTAAAATCTTAAAATTAAAATCCATCCACCACCCGCAATCGTTTGTCGGGGGTGATAAATTTTAAATTAAGCTTAGCTCATAAAAAGTAAATGTCTTGTCGGGTGTATCACTAAGATTCATCTTTAAATAGTCTCTTGCGAGCAGGGACGTGACTCGGGTGGTTTTCCCTCAAAATGACACCATTATATTACGATCATGGCCAAAGCCCGCATGTTCCTTAACGGCTTCAAACTCTTGAGTAATGAATCATAAGATATATTCGATAGGAATAAAGACTTGTCAGTTAAGGTGGATTCAGATCTATCTCCTTAGATAAAGGTCTACAAGGTATCCTTGGACGAAGCAATCCATGCCTGTCAATAAGGTGCCTTCTGTCAGATTGGATCGACTACCTCCTTTGACTAAGTAGACTAGGGATCATGACAGCCCGGGACAACAGAACCATGGGATCTCCATCGGGCTTGTCTTTATTGCCCCCATTACCTGTTTTAAGTTTAAGGTGATAAACTTTAAGGCTCAAACTATAAAATTCATATCCAAAATTTAAATCATAAAATTGCTACTATTATATGGGTACTCAGTGTCTATCTTATGATAGCATTAATTGAAAGTTATCTCTCGTTATCGAGAGGGGTAGTTGACTATAGGGGCTTGCGCCTATAGGAAATTAGAACTCAAATTATAAAGTCCTCGTAAAATGAGGGCGAAATCTCTGGGTAGTGTCTTATCTAAAACCCAATCTGCCTTCTAAAAATTCATCCAGAACCTAAATTTGTTAAAACTCTCAGCTGTCATATAGAAAAGAAAAGAGTCTGGTGTGGAGAGGCTGGGGCTCGTTGAATTTTTGGAAACAACACATTCATACCACACTTTCAAAAACAAATTAATTTGATCCTTTTGTATTCATACCAGCCTCACTAAATCAGCCATTTAAAATGACACATGATTTTCTCATCTTCTTTTTTTTATGGACTACAACAACAATCATTTCAACTGGTTTCCCCTGATGTCCTTTCCTAGCTTCCGAGAAATCAATTTATTATTTTTTTATTGTGAAAATTTTAAATTGTTTGTTAGTCAGACTTTTCTCTTTTAAGCATTAACGCTACATATTATGACCTTACTCTTTAATATTTCTTTTATCAACATTGGAGCAGTATTTCATTTCAACTAAAACTTCCTCTTATTTTCCTTTTTTAATTAGCAGCAGAAGAAAGCGAATACGTGCCTTCAGCATAGAAGAGGAGCTTCAGATCAAAATACTCTATGAAAAGTGAGCATGCAGTGATTTATAATAGCTGATTCGCATGTGTTTCTGGAATTCAACTTTTCTACCTGCCATTAATTATTCTGTATTAGCTATATACTTTATGTGCTACGTCATTCTCTCAGCTAATTGTGATTAAATTTGAAATGTGTCCATTATGATTACAAGAACTTTACATGCTGCCCTTTTCATCCTTTTCAGGTTTGATTTTTCATCTTTTCCCGTTTCAGGTTCAAAAGCCATAAAAAGCGTAATGTCATGATTGCTAATACTCTGAACCCTGACAAGAAATTCACTGCGGCCCAAGTTTCACGCAAGCTTAAACAACTTGGTGTATTGCCTCATAGTAAGATCTCATCTACGTCAGGGAAAGGCAAGGAAACGAATGAAATCAATGAAGTAAGACAGAACTCCGATGAGGAAACGTTGCTAGCAATTCGAGAGAGGTATACTTATAGAAGTTTCATCTTCATTGTGTTATCACAATTTCTATTATTATCACTGCTACTTTATTTTCTTTTGGATATGTTTAACACATTAAACTTTATTAAATCACAAAGTTTATTTTTTTGTGTTAATTTATTTTGTGAAATAAAATGACATTCAAAGTCTACTAATTTTTGGAAATTATAGAAGAATGTTGATTTACAAATTTTATCAGTACTATTTCCCAACTAAACTTTATAGCTCCATGGAGACTCTGCATAACGTTTGAATGAATTCCCATAAGAAGTTTCAAGTATTTGTCATATAAATTCATAAGATATTCCTTCTGAAAATATGAATATTCAACATATAGTGTAAGTCAAATAGTAAAATAAGAAAGAGATAAATAACAACCGACAACAAACAACAACAACATCAAGCCTTTATCCCACTACGTGGGGTCGGCTACATGAATCCTTTTTCTCCATTGTGTCCTATTAAAAGTCAAATTCTCGTTTAAATCTAATAAAGAAAGGTCATTCCTAATATTTTCTAACCAAGTCTTTTTAGGTCTACCCCTACCTTTCTTAACATAAGTCAAATCTAATACCTCTACTCTCCTAACCGGGTCATCGCAAGGCCGCCGTTTTATGTGACCAAACCATCTAAGGCGACTTTCTCTAATCTTATCTTCTACTGGAGCTACTCCAACCTTTTCACGTATATGCTCATTTCGTATCCTATCTCTAAGGGTAAAGCCACTCATCCACCTGATCATCCTCATGTCTGCCACACTTAAGTTAGTATTATGCTTCTCTTTTAAAGCCAACAAAATCGGCACCATCCTAAGTCATTGCAGTTGCGCTCAACTGAAACTCTTATAGGAATATTTTCCCGTTAAGTTTGAGGGGTCACCATTTTCTATTCTACATAACAAAGCCCGTATGCATTCCTCCACTTCACCATCCAACTTAAATTTCTGCTGATGCTTATCCCCATCCATTAATTCTACCATCACTCTGAACGCAATTAGATCCAAGATATCTGAACAAACGTTGTACTCTTATTAAGTGACTTTGCTCAGCCCAAAGTCACAATCCCCTCGACTAGGTCTATTACTACTAAAAATTACACTCAATATATTTCGTTTAGATCTACTCAGCAGAAAACTCTTTAGACTACTAGGTTGACCATACCATAATTCAAGTTTACCTTTAACTCCCTCTCTAGCTTATCAACAATGGAGAATATATCGCAATAAGAAAGATACACACAACGTACATCTTATTAGACAATGTCTAGTGATAAACATCATCGACTAAGCAAAAAAGATATGGCTTAGGCTGTCCTTGATGTAACCCAAACCGGAAATAAGGAGGAAATACAGTGTGCAAGAATTCATCCTTGTATTTGAACCAAGATAATAGCTCCTTGCATACATATCTTAGATGATTTGATATAAGCATTAGTATGACTCCTTCTTTTCAAGAAAAACTCTCCATAGCACTTTCTTAGACACTTATCATATTGCTTTTTTAAATATCAAATAAATATCATATGTAGATCTCTTATTTTACTCATATATTTTCTCAAATAAACTCTAATAAATGTATGGCTTACCATAGTCGACCTAACGCCGGCGAAGATATACCAAATTGATTTGAGAACTAATAGGTACCTCAGCGTGCAACTATTGGCTCCATAACTCGCTCCCCATATTTTAAAGGTATGAACATTAACTTAAATACTCATCAATAATTCACACAATCTGTCGTGGCATCAGTCTTTATTCTTTTAAAAAATGAGGAATTAAACCACACTCATTCTCTAAGTCATTCATGACATCTTCTTAGTCTTTCAAAAATGTATTAAAAGTTTAGTAGCCATAAAATTCCTCAACTCCTTAAAGCCCAATTTCCCACACCTTATTGGAATAACTCTCATTCGGTACCAACAGCTTTTCCACTCCTTCATTTTCTTTAAAGCTCTCTAACTTTCAGTCTTCATGTTTTCTAGTATTAGGGTGCTATGAGGTCACTATATTTCAGGCATCTTATGTTGTCACCTTAATATTCATTAAATACCTTTTAGCCCCAAAATCTCTCCATCTTTGTTGAATCATCCTATATAAGAAAAGTAATTTTTGTGATCTCATTCTTTTAATACACTGCCTTGAACTCGCAACAATCCTAGCTAGCTTCCATGATCTTCTGTTGGCTTAACTTAATACATATAACCTTCTCCCTCTTTAGTATCTAACTCTATTATATATAAATAACAACTAAAGCTATGTATTTGGCATCGCATATTGCTTACTTAGCATCCATTGACGAGGCACTCATTATATATTCCCAGATTTATTTTCATGATTTTTAAAAATTAATCCAATTTTTGATACACCAACTAGCCTTCTTACTTTTTAATTCTTTCTATGCACATTAGATGTCCACACACCACACTATTTTACGTATTAGGAGCTTTTCCCTTTGATACTCCAAGGCATTCTTTTGGCAATTATTCTAATATACTAGCCACTTTTCCCAGCATAATATTTAGCATCCTATGCCAGACAAACTCTTATTTCCAAAAATATTTTTGTGTAAGGATTCTTTAAATGTCCCCAATTACCTAATCCTAGAATAATTGTTTACTTATTTTTATTATTATAGCCCTATTTATTTAAAGTAAAAAACTAATATCGATTGTTGGGTCAGATTAATTTTTCACAGTACGGAATAACTTTCAATTTTGTCAATACTAAACGATTAATTTTCTAATAAGAAACTAAATGCTGTCCCAACTCTGTGCTGTGTATAATATATCCATTTTTATAAGTGATGAGATGCTCATTCCTTTTCTTAAATAAGGTATTAGCAATTAAAAAATCATAAGCTAAACAAAAATCCAATATGGTCTTGCCACCTTCATTCGTCGTTCCAAATCCATGGCCACCATGAATGCTTTTAAAATCATCTACCTCTCTACCAACATATCCATTTAAATCTCCTCCAATAAAAACTCTTTCTTCAAGAGGTAATAGATAAATAACAACCAATGTAAAAAAATCACATCATTGTATAACATTGAACATATGTCACATACAATGAAGCTCATGTTAATATCTTAAGTGTGACCTCATGATCATCATCAAAATATTTTGGATCTCAATGCTGGTGCTACTGTCCTAATTTATTATGAATGCTATTAAGAACTCTTATAAATCCTTGTGGCATCAGTCTATAAGTCTTTCTATTTCGAACCGCTTTGCATAATCACCTACCACTTTATTCTATGAAGCTGAAGATCCTATTGACACTACGATCTATTGAGTTGCCATCAAATATATATAAAAAGGATGAAATTAGATAAATGACAATCAAACAATGGATTAATGGATTAATGGAATAATTAAACAACGAGCCCATAGACTAATTCAATGCATTTAGTTAGTCCATCCAAATCTCATTCTAAATGTATTGGCCTTATTATCCATGTGGGGATTAAGCCATATTAGATATATAGGCCTCGCCAAAATGAATTGAAATATTTCTTACTCAAAAGTGGGCTCTATATGACACGCATCAAACATATGTTAACCAAAGATTATGCCATATTAGTAGTATAAATAGGGCTATGAATTTGATTCAAAGATCGAAGTTTTCTCTCATCAAAATAAATAAGGCAAGCTTGATTTGAACAAATGATTTTGAGCTAATTTCAATTCAATGCTGGATTTGCTTGAGATTGGAGTCACTTACAACCTTGTAGGCCCCACAATAATGATTATGTCAACTAATTAAATTTTTTTTCAACATGGCTAAGTTAAGACTATATGGCATCTATATGGACAACCATATTTTCTCAAACAAGTCATGAAGTTTTCATAAAACATCCATATTGAGTTCCTATAACATGCCATATCAAATATGACACTGATAAGATGCAATAAGAATCTTAATAACAATATTTAATAATTGCTGACAATTTTAAGATTAAGATAGTAGCCTGGCCTAAGATTTTTGGTAAGAATATACAATGAACTGATGGTTTCCCAAGGGATTCTAATTGCAAAAGTTGATGAATGCTGCACCAAAAAAAAGAGGAGATGGGGATGTAATTTAATATGAGGGCTTGTGCCCATTGAAAGCCTCCATCCAACACTAAATATTGTGGTGAAATATGGTTATATCTATATTCCTATGTCCTGGCTTGAGACTCCTATTCATATTCTCATATCCTGGTTTAGCTTAAGATATGAGGAATGCGGATGAGCGACTACCTATGATAATCGAATTCGCTCCTTTTTTTTTTTAATCGATCTAATGGGAGTTTTGAACCCATGTTGAACTAAGGCGGTTGAAGAAAAAACTTTATACATTCAAATCACAGCTAAAAGGAGAATTTGAAAAGATTGGGTTGTGAGGTTAGGGTTGTGGAGGATGATTTGAAGTTCTCAATGCTGTAAAATGTAAGCGCAAGCTTAACACGATCATGACCTTGTGGATTCGACCCATCTGAATAGCTCCTTCCCTTTCTTTCCTATTTCTCTTTCCTCGAGCCTAGATCTCTTTCTTTGGATTCAACTTAGATGAATTGCTCGTTGACGGCTTAGATCGCTACAACATCTTACTTTGCTCTTGATTTTCTTGCTATCACTCTGAAAGCTTGAACGGACTTCGATATTCGACTTTTCCTTGCCCAATAAACTCTTTTTTGAGGCGTGTAGCTACTTTCCGGCCATCGGCATATCCGCTTATGCTTTCTCACACCCAATTCTAATGTCTGGTCTTGAGTCACTCTTTAGGATCTTTTCATTTACTCTTTGCTTTAGTCTTTTCGACCAATGTTGACCCGTAACTGTATACAAAAGAAAAAAAAATAATAATAACGTACCTGTTCGGCGCCAAATTCCGCACGTCGCTCACGACTGATGTCGCGTCCCCACATCTCCGCACGATTTAGTGTCGTTAATAGGGAGAGGGAAGCAAGGCATTCGATCACTCTCGCTCTCACTTTCCATTTTCCGCGAGCTTCTTCGGCTTCTCCCGGGACATCCGACTTCGCTCGGTCTGCGACTTTCCCTTCCCACGGATCGGACGTTACGACACCCGATCGGAAGCAAAGAAACGGGAGTTTGCTGGCTATTGAAGATAACTGTGTACCTTTCGCGCGCCTTCCTCGACTTTCCCTCTCCGTTGGATCGAAAGTTACGGCATTTTAATCGGAAGAAGCAACGGGAGCCGCTCACTGTGAAGATAACTTTCTCCCTTTCGATCACTTCTTCGACATCCTTCATCGTCGCTCGGCTCTGCTCCTTCGACGACTTATCCTTCCTATCGGATCGAAAATGACGACACTTTGATCGGAAGCGGGACGGAAGCTCGCGCACTGCGAAGTTACTTTCTCCCTTGCGTAACTTCTTCGGCTTCTCGTGGACGCTCGACTTTGCTTCCTTCTCCGGCTTCCCTCTACAATCGGATTGGGAGTTCCGACATTTTGGTCGGACTCAAAGACGGGAGCTCACTGTGAAGCTAACGACCTCCCTTTCATCCCCTCTCCGGCTCCATTCTTGCTGTTCGACCGCACCTTCTGCGACTTTCCCTTTCTCTCGGATCGGAAGAAGCAAAGGGAGCTTGCGGTGAAGGTAATTCTCTGCCTTTCACGCACTTCTCCAGCCAAATCCCGTAAGTCAGCCAAACAGAGGTAAAGGAGTCAGGGGTGATTAATGACTTAATTAAGTTTAATTAGAGTTGATTTTTAATTAATTATAATTTGTTTTAATTGTAATAATTTTAATTAATTATATTTATTATCTTTAATTAATGATTAATTTAATTAAATAATTATAATTAATTTTAAATTAATTATAATTAATTTTAATTAAAGTTAATTTTAATTAATTAATATTTATGTTAATACCAAATGCAATGATTGCCATGACTGGGAGAGTCAAGGTTTCCCCCTCCACATTAAAGAAAGGCTTTCGGTCGATTCAACACTTTACACCCATGCGTGGAAGGTCACTATATGCCAAAGGAAAGAGATCTAGTTTTCACCCTGCCTCGTTGGCAATCTATTAACACGCATTCCCCTCTGGCAAACGATAGATTACAAATCTCTAGCTAACTACACCCTTCTTTCTAGAGCCCTTTTCCTTAACTCTTCTGCTCTTTTCCACTCCTGAGTGTTTCTTCTCTAATAGAGCTTTCTTTGGGTACTAGAGTTCTAGTCTACTTATTCGCTTGCTTCTCTTGCTTTTCTTGAAAATCACTAAGTTTCAATACATTCAACAAAATGAGCATTTTGTGCGGCACATCTAACTAATGATGTTTGGTGCTTATGTGTATCGTTTTTCCTATAGTTCATCCTGATGCTTTATCCTTCTTTTTATGTGTGGTGATTATTTAATTTATACTATTTTATTCTTTCATCCTATGCAAAATGCCTTGGTTTGTGTTAGTTTTGCAATACACGTTATTAAAGGTTTAAAAATGCTACATTGGATGAAAATAGGTGCAAATAGGAGATTACTTGTCCACTTGTCCCACCAATAGGTCAGAGCCTGACTAGAATTCATTTCCCATGCCTTAAAAAACATTTAGATAGGGGCGCACCTGATGAAACTCCCATCACAATGGTCTTTTAAGGGGCTGATGTGTAGTGGTGAGCCTGTTTGATTATGATCTCTTGACCCGCAGGCCATGATTTGCAAGGAATTATGATACGGAGTTACAGTACAAAAGAAACTAGTTTAGCAATGCTTAGGTCTTATTATCAAGTTTACAAATAAAAGTTGAATTTGCACTTAATATGCAGTATGGAATTAACAAAAGTCCCTTGCTTCACCCATGGATCGGCAAGTAATTTATACATCAAGACTTGAATCCTGTTAAAATTACATATCATTTGAAAATAGTCATTTTGTAATTGATTAGCAATTTCTCTTATCATGTTAGGCATTCTGATGTATCTAATGAGATTTTACCTCAGCTATGATATGGAAATTGAACCTTGCTTTATAGTAATAAAATAGAAAGGTTATCCTCAGCTGTTACTCTCAAGTGAACTGTGGAACTCCCCATTCTTGAAAGGTTATCCTCAAAAAATAGAAAGGTTATCCTTGACTTTTCAGTTTTTCATTTGCATCCCAATTGCAGAGTAAGCAAATCATTTCATCTTGTCAATTCATTCAAGGATAGCATCGATTACATCTCATGGTAACAAGATTTAATCTAAAAGGATTTTGTGTCACATCTTACAGCTACATGACGAATAAGATGTTTTCCTATGAACTGAAAGTATCTAGTTATAATTATCACCTGGGAAGATTAGATCAACTCACATTGTATTTTTAGATGCTTGATCATGCTAATTCTTGTCTTTTATTTTCATTCCAGAAGCAATAGAAAGAAACGTGTGCCAGGAACACGTGCTCCCACGAGTAGTTCACCTACCCTGAAAGAAGCTCCTCAAGAAAATGATTCTCATGATTTGGTTTTGAGCTCGTTCTTCAAGTAAGTCCTTTTGTTTCTGGCATTAAAGCGCCAACCCTTTCATTTGAACTGGTGCCAACACAAGGTTTTTAATCCTTAAGCACGTTAATCAGGCTCAAACACCACTCTTTCACTTTCCATAACCTCATCACCGCCATCTTCCATTTAAAACCCAAAAATTCCACTTAGCAATATTATACGCCATTCAGGTTTTCCCATTACGATATTAAGAATTATGCAATGCACCTATGATGCAGTAGTCGCAAATTAGCATGGACATTATACTAGACGCTGTTAAGAGTTCATCTCTTACTGATGGCAAAAATAGATGATTTATTTGATTTGGCAAATCTACTTATATTATGGATCTCTTAGAATTTTAAATTTTTAAAAACACATACATCTCATGCCATAACAAGTAGTAGTTATTAAGCTTTCCGGTATACTTGTTCTCTTTATCTTCAAAATGAAGTGTGTGTGCATGAATGCATGTCCATTTTCGTACTATGCTTAATGCATTAATCATGGTAACTGTGTGCTCTAAAGCTACTAGTCCGAAGATAAAAAAAAGCTAATGCACGAAGAAGGTTTTATTGGATCTGGTTTGAAAGTGTACAACTCTGAGATGATCAACTCTCAGTGATGTTATATCACGAATATCAAAGCAATCAAGTGGTTGTGAGCCAACCTCTAGCTCTCCTAAGATTTTTCTTCTGAGCAATTAGTTCGCTATAATTCTTTGTTTGTGCCGGCCAAATGGTAATATGCATGATTTCTCCATAAGTACTCGGCTATGATGCACAGACACGGACACGGCGACACAGATACGACACGACACGGACACGTCAGTTATTGAAAATATAGGACACGGACACGGGTTAGACACGTTATTATAGTTTTCATATTTAAAAAATAGTGTTTAAAAATTAAATAAGTATAATTTTAAAAATAATTTGAAAATAATAAGTCATTTAACTAGAATTTGTGCTTAAAATGATTAGTATTAGGATGTTGAGAGTCAGGCGTTGATGCCGTTTATCAGTCACCGAGAGAGGAGATGAAAATAACTTCACTGCAAAAAAGAAATGAAAATGAGAATATTCGATAATTGGGTTTTAAGTGTGGAAGTTGATTTAATGTTGTGGATATGAAATAAGAAATTTAGTTTAAATGCCGCCAAATACAAGAAATTATATTTAAAAAAATTCATAAAATATTTAAGATACGCGTGTCGGACACGCGTGTCCAATTTTTATTTAATATTTTTTAATCGGACACGTTTCGGCGTTCGGCGTGTCCGACACGTGTCGGAGGAGTGTCGGACGAGTGTCGTGTCGGATACGGTGTCAGACACTGCACGCCTCTTTGAGGAGAAGTGTCGGTGCATCATAGGTACTCGGCTTTTAATGCATTAAACATTTCATGAACCATAATTTATACTTTTGTTTCGTGACAGGTTACTGCACGATATTACATTTAGACCAATATTTTTGGAATAAAGTTCTTCATCTCTGCTTTCACGTATTTTCTTTTACAGTGCAGTAGGTTTTTTATTTTTTATTTTTAAATGATGAGATGTGGCCATAATTCAACCAATTAGAGCAAAAAGAACAAACAACTAAAAAGATCAATTCACTATATAATTATGAGGTGTGCATTCAATTAATTGTTACATCCTATTGTCATCATCATACATTTTATTATAATTTTATTTAGTTTTATGAATCTAAATTTTTAGATGCAATATAAAGATACCCCCTCTTGTTTATAAAGTGAAAACAAAGGCTTCATTTGAAATAGTTTTTAATTTGTTGTTTTTAAAAAAATTTGTGCTTAAATACTACTTTAGAAAACTATAAGAAAATTGTCTCAAGTGAAGCTTAAGATAGCTGGGAAGAGGTTTGCTTATCTAGTTTTTTTTGTTAGCCAAATTATGCTTTGCAACTTAACACGTACCTCGTTATGAATGCAGCACAACATGATTTTATTTTTTTTTTATAAATTTTGTTCTGATTACCCGTGACAACCATTTTTCCATACAGAGATGCATCAGCCAAACGCAAGATAAAACAATCTGTGGAGGATCAAAATGGTCCAGAAGCAGTTGACTCCGTTGATTGGGTTATGAATAACACTCCAATTGAACTTGATAGAGGAAAAAGTAACCAGATGAGTGAAATTTCTGCATCAAACCAAGATGTGCAGGTTGAAGATTTTGAATTAGAGGACTCGATAGATTCAGGGGATGATATGGGTCCTGTGGCACCTAAAACAATGGGATCTAAAAAAAGAATGATACTCGATTTTGAAGAAGATGATTATTGAATTATAGAAACCATATCCATTGGTTGATGAAAATTTATTTAGCTGAATGGGAAATTTTTTGAACAGGTTGATGAGCTAAGATTTGCTAGTATTTGGCTTGGAATATCAATGTTTCGGGGGGAACAATGGCTGAAAATTCAATGCCCAGAACTTTTTGTTGGCTTCGTAGGGCTACAAGTAACCATGTAAAAAGATGTTTTAATTAATGCTATTGATTCTCCCAACATGTTCCCTTCGCGTTGTTGAAAGTGTAAATAAATTGATTTTTGCTGAACATTTTACATTAAAGCTTTTTGGTATGAAGTATTATTGAGTGCATACATTCAAACATCTGTGTAGTATGGTGTATATCATCTTCAATTTTGTTATTATAAGAAAATAATAAAATGGAAGGTATTATTTTTTAAATTTAGATGATAATTTTTAAACTTATCAATGAATTATATTATATCTTAAATTTATTCTATTAAATATTCAAATTCTCATAATATATGCATTTGATGTAGATTAGTGAAATTTTGAAGTAAGTTGTGGTTTATTTTTTTTAGTAGGTGCCAAATGGAATTAAAAAATTTTGAACGGATTAAAGTGTGTCACGTTAAGAGAAAATCGTGCCAGTGTGGAACGACTTGCTTTTCTTTTTGTCTCCTTGCTACTGCATTAACTTTAAGTAATTTGATCGAGTCTTTTTTTTTTTTAATTAAATTAGAGAACTTCATGTAACATTCAAGTTACCAAAATCACGTCACTTGAACTCAAGATAATTGAACCAAACAACCTTAACTTAAATCTAAAACACCAACACACCTAATTAAATACTTAAACCAAATCAGAAGCCTTTTATGCTTGACTCCATTTGGAGGGCCGACATGCTTTGGATTCGTAAGGTTTAGGATGTGGGGTTGAGTACTTTAAAGAAATTTAGAGTATCTTAATTAACACATTCTTTATAATAATTATCTCTTAAATCACTAATTAACATACTTAAATCAAATCTTAAGGACCCTATGCAATTATTCTATTCTTAAATTGTCTAAACTAAGCATCCTCGTTTCCTTAGGAATAGAGTAATCCTATCTTGCATGCTTAAGTAATTGATTGTGTTTATGATATTAGCTAACTTTTCACTCAAGACAAGCATAAGTTCTGATTGTACACCCTTCAGTGTCTTGTCAAAATACTATATAAATTTTAAAATTCTAAATTTCTTCTTAAAAGTAAATCAATCTTTAAGTTTCTAAACTCAAATTTTTTATTTAAAACTTTATACATTTGGAAAGACTAATCCTCTCTTTAGTCAAGGATTTTCTGAAGATTTATCTTGAGATATAAATAACTACAGAGGCTTACCTCTATATGGACTCTAGAACCCATATTAAATTATATCATGCATAAATTCCTTTTTATGGTAGGGGAAAATTTTTTGAACACAAGCCAAAGCGAATCCTTGATTAGTTTCATTTCCAATATGATAAGTGAATATTTATTTTATCCTTATGTATAAATTTTACATTCCTCATGCTAAGTTTGATTATAAAAATAAAATTTATTTCTCTTTTCAAGTCGATAATGAAGCATTAGTTCATCTCTCAAGGTAGTATAATGTTAATTATGTGTATTTGACTAAAGAAACATAAAGTGAATCATTTGCTTATTCTATTTATCCATAATAGTTATTACTAGGAAGTGCCTATTAGATGCTCCTTATGATTGAAGGTTTGAGGATTTCAGTCCTGGATTTTCATAAGCAAATGCATTATACATGACTAAACCAACACTTATTGAGAACACTTATGGAGCATTAGTCACACTAGATCAATACATTTGACTATTTTGAGGTTAATCTTAACATCATACTACATGAATATGGAGTTATATATTATGGATCTATATTGATGCCCCCCTCCTTTGATTTGGCAAAAACTTGATGTTGGAGGTTGTAGGTGGTTGACTTGGCCTTTTTACTCCGATGATTTTCTGGGGTGCCATCTCAAGCCAAGAGTCTTTACCATTATTTTGGTCATCTAGCATTATCCTCCACATTCTGAATGGGGCAAACCCTTATTTAGACATATTTGTGCTTATGATATCTTCGTTAGACATTTTGTTGTGAATCATACATACACCTAGTGACATTGAGTTCTAGATCATGTGTTATGTTGCATACATACATAACTTCCTTCTAACCAACACATCAGGTTGTTAGGTGCATAACATTCCTTTTTTTGCTACTAAAATTGTAATACGCAAGTGGCCATGTCATGTCAAGTGGAAAAGAAGTTAGTTGAGTATAGTTCCAACAGGATCTAAATATTCTCAGTTATCAACTTATTACTAATTTTATTAGTCGCTAGATTTATCTTACCGCAGATTAAGGGTTTGTTCTAGAGAAAGGAAACAAATTATAGTACATTACATATGAGTTATAAAATTTTAGTAATTTAAACTTATGAAGGATGAGAATTTATGTGCACATAGATTGGTCCACCAAATATATACAGTGAATAAAATCATTAGTAGCTCCTCATCTCTATTGAGCTCATTGGATCTTTAGCAAAGTCACTTACTTAATCGCATTTTAAATTTCTCCTTAATAATTCTAAAGTCCTATGCAAACATATATCTATATTTATAAGCATTTCATTCAAGTTCCCCTATTTGTTCCACCACATGCCATCAAGGACGTAGATCACACTACATTTTAATTTTTTCACGACATTTACACAACTAAATTAGTTTTGAGAGGAAAAGAAATACTAAAGCAAAATCTTTCAGTACTTAGATTGTCTCTATGTAACTCATGTATTCCTATCACATCATAAGCCTAGAAAAGTGATTTAGCCAATCATTGTAATAAAAATAATTAGGAATTGCTTCATTTCAAATCTAAAAAAAAATTATAAAAGTTTGAGTAAGAAAAATAGAACCTAAATTAATGATACAAGATGGCACCCAATCTCCTTTCTATCTTCCTTCTCACTCTCCCTCTCCTACAACACAAAAAAATAATGAAGAACACTCAACAAAAATTAAAAAAAAAAAAATCCCCTCTTAGAAATTTAGCCACAATTTATTTTAGAAGTCCAATAAATTAGCATAATGCCATGACATTGGTTTATGAAACACTACAACACTCTAAAATGCACTAATGCCCATCGCTTAATAGACACTCTGTCCCAATGCTCTGATTGAATCAACATGTAATTTTGGTGGCATAATTGTAGTAACTGTTTGGTTGTGGGGTTTAGGAAATTAGGCTTTGTGGTGTCTTGTTGTTTGTCTTGGTTAGGATTCCATGCTATCATGGCACTCTATGATCTAGCATTATGGTGCTACTTGGTAATGTCTCAGTACTCTTCTCTCTAGATTTTTGGATCCTAGCATAATGATGCTCTGAGGTGTGGTGCCACGATGTCACTTCAGTCATAGCTTATTTTTATTTGCTTTATGAAAATTTCCTGCACAAAATGATAATGTAAGGGAATTTTTATGCAAAATATAATAACTTAAAGCATATCTACTACTTATGGAGGTCTTGGCTATTTTCTTACAGTACAATTTTGGTGGAGCAATATTAACACATTTATATGTAGAGTTAAAAGAAGCCACAAAGCCTAGCCATGTGTATATGGCGTGATATTTGCACCTTATGTTAGGATATGAGAGTGTTTGCTTGTTGGTAGATCAACACTACCAGTTACTTACCCTAAGAAGCTTGAGGAAAAAAGCATAGGATACATGGGATTAAAGTAATATAAAAAATGGTGTATATTTTTTAACTTTAATTTATTCAATCTTTGCTTACATTTTCTTTTGTAGGTGGAGTGAGAATCAAGTTTGGGAGATGCAACCTAGCATTATTAAGGTTTATAGGTATAAGATTGATTGCTTGCTACAAAGCTAATATGCTTATTTTTTATCTTTTTATTTGTTTATATTTTATCCTTCTCACTAGAATGTTATATTACATATTTAATCTCCATATACATGTGATTTATGAGCCCTATAATCTCTACATTATACTTGAGATTATTAATTCATACACATATGCGCTATCAATTTAGCAATCCTATGTGTTTGTCATTTGCGGCATTGAGTTGAGTTGCACTTATTATATCAAGTTATGAGGTAGTTTGGAGCTATATAATGTATAAACATGTAGCCGATTGACCCTAGGTTCAAGAGATTGGAAGGGGGAGGTAGTAGAGAGGCAAATATGAATTTGATGGTACATTCATAATCTATAACATGAAGACACCTCTGAGGATAATCACTCTTGTACTTCAACATGTGGCGAGAAGAGTTATCTATTACATACCATAATTTCTAAATCAAAAGAATTTAAAAATTAATAAAACTCACTTGAGTGGAAGCATCTCCAAAAATATTTAATTTATTTAACTATGAAGCATCATGACTAATTTGTATATTTTCAAATTTTCATAATAGATATATCTTACTAAGCTTTATCTTACATTGAAATTGTACACCCAAAAGATAGAGCAATATAATCCATGAGAATGTCTTTTATGAAGCCCAAATTACTATACACCAAGTTTTGATGTTATACCATGTAGCATACACATGAGAGCATTTGTTTTTTAATTATTTTAAAATTTTGTAGTGCATTAGTGGTAATATAATGTATATATATAGCATAGTTCTATATTTTAATATTGATTTGGTACTTCAGGAATTACAACATATTTGCATAGAGCGATTCAAATTGATAACAATATATTCTCTATATTTCTTTAGACAAAAAAATATAAATCAAGATGACTCTACATACATATATAAATCTAAATCACACACACACATATTGTTGTGTACTAGAACATTCACGGCAGTAGAGAAATAAGTTTTTAACGTGTAAGCACATTTGCGCCAAGATATGAGATTTCCAGCATGAGAAATAAGACGTGTACTGATAACTTCACCAGCTAAAGATGCCAAATTTGGTTTTATGACCTTCATATTTGTAACAAGATACTTGTATACCTTATTTATGTAATTAGATAAATTCATAACCCTCTGATCAAAGTTCTTGACATTTATTAGATCAATGGATGACATGTCCTAATGTATTGATGCTATGGCTGCTTCTAAAATTTTAGTAGCGTTTTTCTCATCACCAATTATCTTAGCTAGCTATGAATATGATCCTCAAACAAGTTTGATTTGTCCTTCAAAAACATTACAACATTGGCATACAAATAATTATAATTGGTACGCTTCATAAGCTCTAAAAAGTGCCACACAAGTCTAGTACCTTCCTTTCATGGAGAAAGTGTTTATATATTTATCAAGG